GACCAATTAGAATTTTCACTACAACTGGGACACAATTGTTTTTCTTAATCATTAATCTAAGCCACAGTCTGTATGGCTCATCAGTAGAAACTCATGTGTTCTAGTTGTGTGATATTCCCTTGTTTTATTTTTAATCATTAAAACTCTATTTAAACTAAAATTATTATTAATTATACAGTGCAGTTTAGGAAGAAATCACCTTAATAATAGTCCACAGGTAAACATGTCCAGTAGAATGAAATATTTCCATGAGCTAAACACATCACGTTGCAGGCAATGGGGATCTCCCCACACCCATTCACACCATGGCAGATACCAGAGGGAGATGGCAACGGCAAAGATGTAAAGTCACAGCAGAAGCAAAAGACATCCTGGGGTCTGGGGTCTGGGGCCCTGCCTATCCAAGATTCACCCATCAGAGATTTTCCTTCTAGTGGGCTGGCACCCTGAAGTCAATTGCCACCTGCTGGTCCTCTGAGATACCCACTGATGCTCCCCAAGGTAACATATCCTGGTTTCCATTTGGAGGTCAACACTTCCTTAAAGTTATACAGGGAACAAGTAGGACATTTTCTTCTAAATTTCATGGTTTGTTGCCAAGTGATAGAAAAATTGTTCTTTAAACCTTTGCTATTAACATGGTGTTTCTTATGAAATTTTGAGGCTTCTAGTTCATTTTCCACCAATAACTGATCAAATTCATCATTACCTTGTGCTAGTGGGCCTGGTAGGCATTTATAGGATCTGATATGTGTTACATGTAAGGGATGATTTCTGACTATTTCTGTAATTGGATAAATAACAAAGTTAATTCTGAGTTATCAGGAATAAGTTAAGCAGTTTCAATATGTAAAATAACTCTTTCTGCGTATTGTGAATCAGTAACTATATTAAGAGGTTCTGAAAAATTTAATAATACCATGAGAAAAGTATATAATTCTTACTTTTTAACAGACCTTAACGGCTTTGAGGCATTTTACTTAAATTTTCTGATTTATAACTTGCCTCTCCTGATTTATTTATATCACTATAGAATGTGTGGGCTCCAGATATTGGTATTCCCAGCACAATGAGAAGAAGGTACCATTTGGTTCTTTTTATAAATTGAAGTCTCTTGCTTTTGGGGTATTTGTTGTTAGTTTCTCCAAAGAAATTACTGTAAGCTCTTTGCCAATGTTTATTTTCTGCCCATAATGAGGAAATTCCAGCATTAGTAAAATACACTACAATTTCTGTTGGGTCCATTCTTGTTAATTGACAGTGTCTCAATGTTCTTTTCAGAATCAATTTAGAAAGATTTTACACAGATCTTTAATTTTTTACTGTTTGCAAGGTAGAATGCCCACTCTAAAATGATGTCTTTTTTTTCTGCGTAAGAATTCCTTTTTCTCCTGTTCTCCTGTAGCAGAATGATCAGAAGGTAAAAAGACTATGATACAATCAAGTGCTAGATCCAAGTGATCCACATGTGCATCTTGTAATTTGTTTTCTACCAGAGCCAATTCTGTCTGCTTCAGCTGATAATTTTCTTGGACTATTTAAGTCCTTATCACCTTGTAAGTTTAAATAGATTATTTAGTTCTTGAGTAATTAATCCAGTTGTGGGCCATAGCCAGTTAATGTATACCAGCAATTTTTGAAAATCATTAAGAGCTTGCAATTGATCTCTCTTGATTTGTACCTTTTGTGGTTGAATTTTTATAAACGTATCTTATATCCTAGGTAATTAGGAGAATCTCCTCTTTGTATTTTTGTAGGAGGATTTGTAATCCTCAGCAAGGCAAAATTTTCTTTACTTCTTTAAACACTTTTTAAAATATATCTGCATTTGAATCAGCTAGTAAAATATCATTCATATAATGGCAAATTATAGATTGAGGAAACTGTTTCTGAATTGTTTCCAAAGGCTGTTATACAAAATATTGACACAAGGTAGCGCTGTTTAACATCTCTTGTGGGAGAATTATCTACTGATAACTTTTAATGGCTGGAAGAATTATAAATAGGCACCGTGAAGGCAATTTTTTTCTATCCTGTTTTTGTGAAGGTATATCACACAATAACAATTTTGTAGGAGAAAGACAGTGAATAAACAAACATGTACAACACAGGAAACATCTACAAGTGATTAAGTGAAAAAAAAGACATTAAAATGGATTACTAACATATAGAGTTACTGGGTGGCTATTTTAGGTAAAATGTTATAGATAATCATTTTTATGTGGCTTTAATAAACAAAAGATGACAATCTTGCAAAGATTGGCAATTAAACAAGGGAAAGGAAACTAGGAAGAATAAATATATTAGAACAGGAGAAGGTATCAACTGGTTTTGCAACTAAATTTTTCTTTAGGGTATAGTGTCATCCACACCTCTCATCAGTGCAAGCAGTCAACCGTGGGCTACTATCTTATGAGTAGCTCTGGACTAAGGTTATAACCCACTCTAGAGTTGAAGTGGGAGTCCCGTCTGTATTCTGTGATTACTGTTAATGAATAAAGAAACTGCCTTGGCCTGTTGATAGGGCAGAACTTAGGTAGGCAGAGAAGACAGAACAAATGCTGGGAGTAAAAAGGGCAAGTCAGTGAGAAGCCATGTAGTCCCGCCAGAGACAGACTCCAGAACTTTATCTGATAAGCCACAGCCTCGTGGCGATACACAGATTAATAGAAATGGGTTAAATTAAGATGAAGAGTTAGCCAATAAGAAGTTAGAGCTAATGGGCCAAGCAGTGATTATTTTGAGAGTAAGTTAGTAGGGCGGCCGGGACTAACAAGCAGCTCCCTCCCCGCTGCAACATAGAGGTAAAAAGTAATAAGAACTCACAGATCATTAATGCTACCTCTATTCTATGCTACCTCTATTCTATGGCTGTATCAAATTCTAATTCTGCACAAATCACAAGAACACACTGTTTACCATAGGCAGAAAAATTACAAGAAAAAAGTGTAGGATTAATATCAAATTCAAATGGAAACCAAAATATAACAAAAAGAGCACAAACAAAGCTGTTCCATTGCTACAGACTGTGGAAAATGTGGGTATGAGTTCAGGAAATAGAAACTCCATTAGCTAAACCATGGGAAATACAAAGACACCAAAGTAAACTGTTAAGATGTATCATAGAAATACCATTTACTCAGTGTGTGGGTGCACCCCTCGCGGTCCTGAGTTCCTTGCTTGTGCTCTCTCTCCTTCTGCTCCTGATTTGGACCTTGAGAAGGAGAGAGAGCACGAGCAAGGAACTCAGGACCGCGAGGGGTGCACCCACACACTGAGACAATGGGGATGTTCTATCAGGAACTCACCAAGGCCAGCTGGCCTGGGTCTGAAAAAGCCTGGGTTAAAACCGGTCTCGCTGAACATAGCGGACAATGAGGGCTACTGAGAACTCAAGAACAATGGCCAATGGGTTTTTGATCCTACTGCATGTATTGGCTTTGTGGGAGCCTAGGCAGTTTGGATGCTCACCTTACTAGACCTGGATGGAGGTGGATGGTCCTTGGACTTCCCACAGGGCAGGGAACCCTGATTGCTCTTTGGGCTGGTGAGGAAGGGGGACTTGATTGGGGGAGGGGGAGGGAAATGGGAGGCGGCGGTGGGGAAGAGACAGAAATCTTTAATAAATAAATAAATTAATTAATTAAAAAAATAAAATAAAAAAGAAAAAAATACCATTTACTACTTTGTAGGCTAATGTAATAAGAGTAGAACTTAACACTGTCTGCCATCCAGAGCAGGAAGGTTGTGGAACCAATAATGATTGCTGTAGAAGGGAGGTTCAGAACAGACACTGGGAACAAGAAAACCAGTTAGAGAATGACTGCTAATTTGGGTAAGAATTAATAATTGCTTGAGTTCAAGTAATAAAACACTTCGAAGCAACTGCTTTTCAAGATTGGGAATGTCTATAAGGTGAAAAGAGCCCCCAGGCACCTTAATACAACCTCAACAGACATGTAATTAAGATACTTTTTCTGTTCTACGATTCCAGATTCCATGAAATCAGAAACAAAGGACAACAAAGAAAACATGAAAAATACCTGAGGACTAATCAATAGCAAGGATGAGAAAGTGTTAGTACTGGAAGAGGACTGTAAAGTTTCATGCCTAGTTGTCGGAGATGATTGACTGTTACAGAAACTGAGCAACAAAAGAGATGGTGAAGTGCAGAGAAGCAGGCTCCAAGGATGGATCATGAAACCGATTTGGTGCTTACTATTGGCATGATATATAACCCTGGACAAACCTCCTTAAACTTAAGTGATTGTATTTACCACGTAGACTGGTCAGATAACAATCAGAATCAATGGCCTGAAATACATTTTACTATTAGACAATTTTGATACATTAGCATAGTATGACTAAATATCACATGATTTACCCTTTTAATATCAGAGAATTTTCTCAGACTATAATAAACCTGAATGCGGTGGCTTATCTCTTTCAAGCATGTTAGCCTTATTACTTATAGGTAGGAAACAATTGGTTGTATATGTTCTCTATATTTGAAATTGTATATGTCCCCTCTCATATTTCTGTAATATTGTATAGGTATGTGCATCTATAAAAGTGTGGGATTATACTATTTTGTAGCCTGGCTATTCAACATTAGGAAGGAAGTAGTTTTACAAACATCTTTTTGTTGTCTTTAATATGGATATAAGGATAGCCATATATAACCAACTAGCCATCTATTTATTGAATACTTCAGTGTTCCTAGTAGCATTGCACTAAATATATTTACAAAGTTTAAGTTATACCTATATATTCTTTCCCCCAGGAAAAATAGCTAGTTTGACAGCTTTAAGACTTTTGAGACCACCTATCTCAATAAAAAAAATATAATAAAATAAGAGATGTAAATTTGGGGGGGTATGAAACAGGATGGTCTATGAAGCATACAATAACAACATGCCAAAAATGCATGTACCTTTAAAACTACGGTTGAGAGTAATGATTATGGGAGGTACTGATAAAATGATACCAAACAAACTTGCTCAAATATCACTGCAGGGTGCACCAATCCTTTAATGTATTACAAAACAACGAGACTATATATGAAGCACAATAAAACAACATACTCATACATATTGCAAAACTGTATTACTGAAAATATATCCATTACGCTTGAGTGGCTCTTATTTTTTGCTGTATCCTTAATAAATATAGGCTTCTAGTATTTTAAGAAGGAATTCCTAACATGGACTACCATTTTATTACCGGAGTCCTAATGGAGGTCTGCAGTTCAAATGGATCAGTAAGGTAGGTCCACTTCAAAACAGCAAACAAGTCGTGTTGAAAATGCACGGGAGGATTTTAATCAATTAATGTGGAAGAGAGAGGCTGAAGTCTTAGCCCCTCTGCAGACCTTCCAACAGGAGTTCCCAGATTAAATGGGGGGTGGGGGGGGAGGCACAGAGGTCGAGGCAAGGAGTATAAGCATGCAGCTCATCTATTTGGACAACCTGTGTCTGATTGATCAATATCTCAGGATTGCCAAGGTGGATCTGATCTCCATAAGAAAACCATGGTTGTTTGAGGTTGTAGTTTCCGTTCTCATTACAGAAGTCTTTCCATCAGACCTTTCCTGGAGTCTAAGATGACTGAGAGAAGAGAGATAGATACAAAATGAGGGTAGTGATAGTAAGTCTTATCCTGATTCTTGAGACATTTGCTGGCCACTTTTAAATCTTTTCACAATTTTATTTTCTAATATATTTATGTATTCTTCTCTCATACATTACTTCCCAACTGCAGTTTCCCCTCACCCCACTTCTTCCAGTTCCTCACTACCTTCCGTCTCCCCCAGATCCACTCATTTTTTAACGTAGAACGGTTAAAGATATCTTTATTGAATTTTGTGCTTCTTTTTATTTTTAGAAACCTACTTGATTTACATACTTCTTTGGCTTTGTCATTGGTATCTTTTGTGACTTTTATAAGAAATTCATTTTCACACATAAGCATTATTTGTACTCTGTAAAAGCGGTTACAAATCATTATGCATTCAATCCTTTTTCTGTTCTTTTATTGCTATGCTTACATATCTTCTTAGGGTATCTATGTTCATCCATACTTTCTTCCAGTTCTTTTCTTAGCCAAACAAAAGAACTGATCAAATAGAAATCTGATTCATGGAAATGGTTATCATGTAGACATTAAGCAAAACTTGATTTTTAAATGTGTTATTGCTATTGACCACTATTGCCAAGATCCCAGTTTTCAGGTAACTATTTTTTTTTTAATGGTTCCTATTTTTCATTTCTTTTTGTTTCACTGAGAACTCTTAGGACAAAGCTGAAGATAGGACAGTGGTGGTGGCAGAATGCATTTCACATTACATCTCTTGGTGCACAGTGAATCCATTTGGACACAGGAGTTAGCATTTGTTGGCGTGGTAAGCGATGTAAAATTTCCTGGTGAACCAAATATCTGTCTTCTCCACAGCTTTGGAAAGGATGCATTATTTTCCACATTTCAGAGACGGAGCAGCCGACATCAAGAAACACATAATTTGTAGTCTCTGAACTACTGTAACCAAAACATCTCCCTGATCTCAAAATCTCTTTCTGTCACCAGAAGTGGCCTATAAGGCTCCAGAAGAAACCCAGCCGTGGCATCCATGGTCGCTGTTTCCTCCCCTCACTGCAGTCCTCCTCCGAGGCCCAGGCCGCGGCTGTGCCTTCCAGATCTTTCTCCAGGGGCCGATGGGATTCGGGGCTCACCCGGCGAGCTCCAGTGCAGGCCGGGGCGGGCTGTCTCGGTCTCGGCCACCGCTGCGGGCTTCCCCGCCCTCTTCGGCGCAGGCGGCCCGCCCAGGGCACGGTCCTGACGGTCGCGGGGACAAGGTGGCCGCGCGAGCCCGCGACACTCCGAGCCTCCGCCGCCGGGCCAGCCGCGAGCGAGCCGCCGCCATGCTCCGGGTGCTGGTGGTGGGCGCCGGGCTGACCGGAAGTCTGTGCGCCGCGCTGCTGAGGAAGGCGATAGCCGGCCCGCTGTACCTGGCGCTGTGGGACAGGGCTGGCGACGCAGGTGAGTGGAGGGAGGGCGGGAGCAGGAAGGCCGACCTGCTCCTCGTGGGAGCTGTAGGCCCGCACCCTGCCCTTCTGAGGGAAAAGTCCGGGTTTGGGCCGCGGAGGCAGCGCGCCGCCGCCGTCACCGCGTCACGTGACCCGTGGCTGCCACAGCCGGAAGGCTGGGTGCGCGCGCGCGAGTGGAGGTCCCGGTGGGGCCCGAGAATGGCGGGTCAGGGAGCACTGCCGGGGAGGACGGCGCCCCGCCAGCGTGGGCCCAGCGAGGCCGCTCTGAGCCTTGGCAGCTTTCTCCTGAGTCTGCGGACTCCCGCGTTTTCCTTGACCAAGACTTTGCAAATGGCTAGACTGAACGTCCTAGCTGGAGCCTTCCTTAGTCACTCTGGCATTTCATCCATTTCGACTTAGTCATCCACTGTTTCGTTCGTTTCTTCAGGTTAACACAATATGTAGTAGTAACATTGTAGGGCAGTAGTACAACATTCACAAGTCCTTTTTTTTTAATTCAAGTAAAAAAAAATTACAATGACCAAATAATCCAGGACAATAAACAACGATAAAAGCGTCAGCTTAGATTAATAATGTTTTTAATGTATTTGGACAAGGACAATAAAGCCACCAGGCTAGCTGGGGTAAGTTGTACAATTTTGAAAAGGCTCATTCTATGCACTGACAATTGCTTATGAATTATTTTAAGGGGGAAGAATGATTACTGCCAAGAGTCCTCATGATCCCCGATGCACAGCTGACTTGGGAGCTCAGTACATCACCCGCACGCCTCATTATGCAAAAAAGCATCAAGAGTAAGTAAGTCACTCCTCTGGAGTCTTAGTAGATAGATGTATGATGTAAAACGAAACAATCATCTTTTCTAACACATTTTCAAACGTTGCCTCTTATGACAGTGAAATGTTCTTACGATCCTTGTGCAGACCATATAACATTATATATGGAACAACAAAAAGGGCTCAGTACACTTCAGTAATTGTTAGTTGTGAAGATGGCAGAGTGTAATATAGTATTTCTAAGCACATTTAAAATGGAGCATATAATACTTTTCTATGTATTTTTCTTGACTTCACTTTTATGTAGAGAAATAGGACTTGAAATTGAAATTAGCCACAATGTCAGCAGAAGATTTACAGGTTCTTAGAGGATTTTTGCTCTTCTCCTGCATTACGTTTGGTTTAACACACTTAACAGTGAGTTTATTGTATGAGGATTTATAGTGTGATTTGATTTTTTTAGATGACAAGACAGTGGTTCCAGAGCTAATCACACTATACATTTCCATATGGTTATTTCAGGTTTTATGAGGAGCTGTTAGCTCATGGGATTTTGGAGCCTCTGACCTCTCCTATTGAAGGAATGAAAGTGCAAGAAGGAGATAGCAACTTTGTGGCACCGCAAGGGATTTCGTCAATTGTTAAGCACTACTTGAAAAAATCAGGTGGGGCTTGATTTTCTCTGCCTTTCACGATGAAAGTTGTGCAGTCAATGTTAGTATCACATAGACGATTATAAAAATAGTTAAGCTCTCGTCTTCTCATTAAAATATGCCTTTCCTTCCTCCAAAGTAAACCTAGAATCAATTTGCAGGTCTTATTGAGCTGTATGGCAGTCTCTATTTACTACTAATCTGTTTATATTCATTTATATTCACTAATTTTTGAGTGTATAAGAACAGTTTTTTATTTCTGACCTTGACATGGCTATAGAATTGAGTTCTAACAGGTTGTGTTACTCTTAAAAACCGGTCTCATCAGTAGTGAATGAGAATGTTCTTCACATCTGAGTGTTACGGAAATTTTAAATTTTTATTGGGATAGTATGTTAAAAACATCATATTTTTATAGTTGTATTTTTTATTTCCTAAGTTATGAATGAATTTATACACTTTTTGTTTTGTTGTTAACCAGCTCTTGGCATTTTTTTAAAATTTCTTATTCATAGTTGGACCATATTCTATTAGAATTTTCAATTTTACTTTTTGCATTTTATGAATGCTGTGAAAACTGATATCTTATAAAAAGGTAAAATAAAGATTTTCTTGGGTGATAAATTATTTTCCTATTATAGAGCAAGCTTTCTTGGAAATTTGTAATTTGGCTAAGTACCCCATTCAAGATTACTACGGAAAGGTGTAAGCTGAAAATTTGTTTTTTCACAATTATTTATAGAATTACTAGAATTTAGGTCTTCCTTGTCAGCATTACTTAATGAAAACGTCAAGGATCTGAACCTGTGAAAGGTCAATGAGATTGACTATACAACAGAACACCTAAAAAAGACAGTTCTGGGGTAGGCCATTTCTCCATTTGATATTCAGACTATGAAAGTGTCATTGAGTTCTTCAGAGAAACCGAACCAGTAGAATATGTTTTACTCCCCCTTCTCCATTCAGATATTCTATATCCATTACCAGCTATAGTTCAGAAACATTGAAAAAGGGCTAGGCATGGTGGCATATACCTGTTTTCCTAGGATTTTGGAGGCAGATGCACAAGCACCACAAGTTCAAGGACAACTTGGGTTAGTGCGTTCCAAGCAAGGAAGTGCTATAGTGTGAGGTCCTGTCTCAGTACACAACCAAATAAACCAAAATCTGAAAAACAATTCCAGAAGGTTCTAAAAAACAAGCATAAAATTGCTGCACAACTTACAGTATGCTCCATGAAAGAGAAGTGATGTGTAGGCACACTCCCCAATTCATGGACCCTTAGTCTGTTTCTTTAGCATCTGTCTTTAGGATATGGTTCACCTTGATTTTTTTTTAATCCATGTGTAGTAATATGTATCATTATTTTTGTTGTCCTGCATATATATACTTTTTTCATTCTATAATTCTCTAAACAACACAGTATAAAAAATACATTGAGTTAACATTTATCCTGTTCTAGGCATTGTGAGAAATCTGGGATGTTTTAAAGTATATTGGAAGCCATCTATTAGTTACCTGCAAAGAGTATGCCATTTTATGTAAGTGACTTGAGCATCAGAGAATGTGGGTATCTTGGGGATAATATATTGTTATCAGTTTTTAATAGCTATGAAAAGTTGAAAGTGTGTGTGTTTGTGTGTGTGTGTGTGTATACTCATGAGAAGGAAAGAACAGGGAAGAAAGAGAGAGAATAAAGAATTGGCCCACATGATTATGAAGACTATCAAGTTCAAGATCTGAAAGGTGAGTCAGCAAGCTTCACACCCAGGAGAGCTGATGGTTTAGGTCCAGTGTAGTTGGAGTTTTAGTTGGGACCACCAGCTCCAAAATAAATGTACAGACTTAATATTAATAATAGCTCAGACCTATTACTAACTAGCTCTTACCACTTAAATCAACCCATTTCTATTAATCTATGTTCTGCCACATGACTCATGGCTTTACCTGTTCTCCAGCATATCCTGTTCCCTCTGCATTTCTTCTTCCTAACATTCTCAGTATGGCTCTTCCACCTAACGATATCCTGTCCAGCTATTGGCCACTCAACTTCTTTATTAAACCAATTACAGTGACATATATTCACATAGTGTAAAGGAATATTCCACAGTCCAGTCCGAAGATGAACAGGCTCAAGACTCAAGAAGAGCCAATGTTTCAGTTCTAGTTTTAAGACAATGAAAAAAAAGTTCAAGACACAGTTGTAAGTCTATCTAACAGGAGTCATTCTTTGGTTGGCAGGCAGGTAAATGTTTTTACCTTAGTTAGCCCTTCAACTAATTGATTGAAGCTCACTGCATTAGGGAGAACAATCTACCTTTCTCACATTAAGTTTAATATCAACTAAAATTTCCCACAGTATTTCCAGGACCCAGAACATTGTTTGATCAAATATGTGAATATTATTGATGTGATACCCGACATGACCAAAAGCAGCTTGTGGAGGAAAGCATTTATTTGTTTTAGGCTGCCACACCACTGTTCATCACTGAAGAAAGTGATAGGAAGAAAGGGTAGGAACTCAAACAAGGCAGGAACCTGGAGGCGGAAGCCGATTCAGAGGCCATGGAGGGTGCTGCTTACTGGCTTTCTCCTTATGCCATGCTCAGTCTGCTTTCTATTAGGACCTAGGACCACCCTCCCAGGGACCACCACCCACAGTGAGCTGGGCCCTCCCCCATCAATCTCCAATTAAGAAGATGCCCTACGGCTGTATCTTATGGAGGCACTTTCTTTTTTCTTTCTTTTTTTAAATTCAACATTTTTACTTTCCAAAGTGTATAATTATTTAAAAATCAGAAATATATTTTTTATATACTCACAATAAAAGCAATCAGATTGTTGACATAGTCTTCTGTGTCTAGGCCCCAGGTCCAAAAATTGAAAAAAAAAATCTCACAGCTGTTCTTTTCTACTGTTCTGTTTGTTATTTCATTTGTCATTGCTACTTTCTGGAGTGGGATTGTTCAAAGTACCAATAGGACTGTAGCTATCATTTAGTAAGTGTTAACCATTTAGCACACGTCGTTCCTAATCCTTAACAACCACCTGAGGCAGCTCTCATTATTCCTAATGACTAATGATACAACAAGGCATTGGTTCACTGAGTACCAGTCAGTGTCTTTGCTGGTAAATAGCAGAAGCAGAACTTCCTGAAAACTGACTTTATTGTTTCCTATTAGCTTTCCTATGGGAGACAGTGAAGAATGCTCATCTTCCCATTCAACATTTATTTTTAAAGGCCCTTCCTCCCCCACTTTGATTTTTTTTCCTATATTTTGAGGCTAAGTCTCATACTGTCTGGACATATATGTTGGTGAACATACAGCTCAAGTCAACAGCTTCATAGTGCACTGACCTTTTATCATTTAGTTATTGGCTTTAGAAGGATGTTACTGTCCTGTTTCTTTATACAGTCTGGAAGATTAATTACCTACCAGTTTCTGTAACAGGAGGGCCCACTTGTTTGTCCTGGCCACCTAGCTGTCTTAGCCCCGAAATAATCACACAGAAATTGTATTAAAATACTGCTTGGCCCATTAGCTCTAGCTTCTTATTGGCTAACTCTTATATTAATTTAACCCATTTCTATTAATCTGTATATTGCCACATGGCAGTGGTTTACTGGCAAGATTCTAATATGTGTCCGTCTCAGGAGGAGGATCCGTGGCTTCTCTCCCACTCTGCCTTCTTCCTCCCAACATTTTGTTTAATTTTCCCCGCCTGCCTAAGTTCTGCCCTATCAACAGCCCCAAGCCGTTTCTTTATTAACCAATGAAAGCAACACAAAGACAGAAGAACCTCCTACACCAAGTTTCTCCATATGACAACTGGAGAGTATGCTAGATAGTTTTAAGCCAACTTGATACAAGCTAGAGTATCTGAAAAGAGGGAACCTCAAATGAGAAAGATGGCCCAAGAACGGCTGTAAAGCATTTTCTTAATTAGTGATTGATATGGGAGGGCCCAGCATGTTGTGGGTGGTGCCATCCCTGGGCTGGTGATCCTGTGTCCTTTAAGAAAGCAGGCTGAACAAGCTATGATGAGCAAGCCAGTAAGCAGCACCCCTCCATGGCTTATGCTTCAGCTGCTGCCTCCAGTGTCCTACCCTGTTTGAATTCCTGGCCTGACTTCCCTCACTGATGGACTGATGGACTGATGGCAATAATCTGGACTTGTAAGGTGCAATAAACCCTTTCCTCCAAGTTGCCTTGGTCATTGTGTTTCTTTCTTCCAGCATTAGTAACTCTACCTAGGGCAGAGAATGATGCATCAACTTTTAGAAGTGCTTTATTTATTTCCAAAATTCATAAGAAGATGAATTTAGCCTCTGGGTCTCTGGAATAGAAGTTTTTATTTGTGTTGTCCTTTCAACAGATGGGAATATCAATGCACTAATTTTTTCTACATCATATTCCTTCACAATAATATTGGTCAGCAATATGAAAAGTCACTATATGCAGTATGACTTGTGAAAGTAGACAGTATTCATTTATTTAAAAAAAACAGTTGGTTTAATTTGCAGATGCTGTCAGCTCTGAGGACTTTTGCACAGTAATATTTGCCTCATTATCTTCCCTTTTCATTTGTTTACTTTTTTCTAAAATCGATGTAAGGAAGTGAGCCTGTGTGGTTCTCTATCACAGTTCTCCCTGCTAAGTAATCATGACATTTATCCAGTACAGTGTTCTTTCAAGGGATGCTATAAAGTAGTACACAAGCTATGTGACTATGTGCATCGTCTACTTTAATCAGTACATTTAGAGAGAGCTCTTCTGTGTCTTCAGGTCCTCATCTCAGCATTTCCAGGTGCTGCTTACTAAAACCAATCCATGAGAAATGATATAAGAAAAAAAAAAGATGGCCAGCTGTATGTTTAGTGAGAACTTTCCTCAAAAAATTGGGTAGAAAGCATCTCATAGACTCCTATTCTGACCTCCACTTGCTTGAGTATAGCTAGGTATCACTGTGTGTACACAAACACACACACACACACACACAAGTATGCACACACACAGTGGAGGGAGGTTGGGGATCAAATGAAGAAACTATATAGAAGAAACACATTTGCTTTTATAAAATGATTAAACATTACTAGTCCTCTATCTAGATAGCTATGTACAAAATTAAAAATTCTCATTAAATAGCATGTACTGGATGTTATGGAACCCTGTCCTCTGGGCATTGCTTGGCTGTTAAGTCTTTCAAATCTTAGCCAGCTATGATTCCTTGTCCAAGACTCTCACAGGCATTTCCAAGTCATACTTCTCCATGGAACTGGTGGTAAAGACATCACGAAGAGCTCAGGAGGGGCATGAGTTCCACCTTTCCCTGACCATGTTTTAAGTGGTTACTGTAGCTGCTTTTAGTAAGCCCAGGTTTGCTAACTCAGGTTTGGGGCATTGCTGCCCTCTTTTGACCGAATAGAAAAAGTGCAACTGGGCAAAAACGATAATAAGACAGTTCCTGTCTGTTAATGTAGAATGCAGTGGTAAAGTAGGGAGACATTAAAGTGTTCCTTTAATAAAAGATGTATAGTTTTTCAAGGACAGCCTGGTCTACAAGAGCTAGTTCCAAAGATACAGCGAAGTCCTGTCATCCAAAACAAAACAAAACAAAAAGATGTATAGCAATTGCTAAGAAGGATGGGGTGTGAGCACTTGGAATGAACATTTAGTAATAATACCTAATATGACAAAGATTGCAGAGAGCTGAACTGAAAAGATTATGTCAAGGAGAGTGTCAACACGGAACTGACATTTCATGAATGCTTTAAAGTCAACAAATGTGAAGTAGGGCAAGGGCCAAGGGGTTAGAGTTCCACAGAGCAGGAATTGGAGCGGTCATGAAGTAGACAAAGCAAAGTGCATTCAAGAAATTAAAAGTTAGCTATGACTGGGGAGTAGTTCGAATGAGAAAGTGGCAAAATGAAGTACAAGATAAACTTGGCATAAATGTTTTGTAAATGGTGTTAGAAGATTTTACAGTGTATTGTTAAGTGTAGTGGGAAGCCCCTGAAGATTTTCACATGATCACATTTCCTAAGCTCGAAGTGCCTCTTGAAAACAGGTGTGTTCTCCGTTTCCAGGTGGGAGTTTCCAGCTCCAGATTTGTTTCTAAACCAAAGTCTTTACACAATCTGAAATTTGAGATATCAGTATACTAAGACTTACTCACCCAACTGGAATTTCTTTTAGCTAATGGTGAACGTTTTATTCTCTTAAACAAATGATGACTCCAAAATATATTATGTTTCAAGCACTCTGATTTGTATGTTATATGTTGTCTTAGTTATTTTACCTCTTGCTGTGATGAAAGTATCCTGGTGAAGAAACTTCAGAAAGAGTGGGTTTATTTGGCTTACTGTTCAGCCCATCGTGGTGGGGGGAATGCTGGCAGCAGGGTCCTGTGCAGGCTTCTGCAGCCAGGAAGCTGAGGATAACAAATGCTGTGCTCAGCACACTTCCTCCTTTATGCATTTGGAATCTCAGCCTAGGGAATGGTGTCATCCACATTAAGGGCAGTCACTCTACCTCAGATAATCTCTCATCTAGGTAATTTCTCAAAAATATCCCCAAAGGCTTGGTTCTAGGTTATTAGAGATATTGTCAAGTTTATAATCAATGTTAATCATCATGTATGCTATACATAGAAAATGGTCATTACAAATATTCGTGGCTCTAAAATGAAAGGGAATACAGCATAAAAATAGGAAAATGATTATAATAATGTGTGGTACATTTTAAGAAAGAAAGTGGGAAGTCAATGATTTTCTTGGTTTTGATCCTTACTGACAAATTGATCTCCCCTACATATATGTTTTAAGATTGTTCAAGGTTATTCTGCTAGGTAATACTAGTGAGAATTAATTGCTAGGTATTATTACTGAGAATTGCTAATGGCATTTACTGATGTACATTCATTCTGCAAAGATGACAAGCTTCCTAGTCACCTGTATATTTTTAAATCATGGCTGAACAGATTGATACCTATTTCTTCATTTTTGAAATAAATTAGTATGATATATAACAAACAAATTAGTTTAATATGTAACAAATGCTTGACTAGTGTGGTGGCCCTCATATAGATGCCTATGTTTAAATACTTGGCCCCCGGTTAGTGGGATTGCTTGAGTAAAGTTTGGTTGTATGATTTTGTCGAAGGAAGTGGGTTACTGAAGTGGGTTTTTAGTTTCAAAAGCTCAACCATTTCCAGTTAGCCCTCTCCTTCCACCTCTTGGTTGTTGTCTCAACACATAAACTCTCAAGTACCATACCTGCCTGCCTGCTGCCATACTTCCCACCATGATAGGCACAGACTCACTCTCTGAAACCGTAAACAAGACCCACCCCCTTAAATGTTCTTATATAAGTTGCTTGATCATGGTGTCTCTTTGCAGCAATGAAAAGTAACTAAGACAGCTAATAAGTATTTTTCCATTTTATTGAAAATAGAGTCTTGTCTCATACAATATATCCTGATTCACATACTCAGGAGTTCCATAAAATACATTAAACTGAAAACCATAATATATTTGCAGAGACCTGGTGCAAACCTGTTCAGGCCCTGTATGTGCTACCTCAGACTCTATGCATTCATATGAGCTTTGCTCAGTTCATTTAGACGGAGCTAACAAATTCTCAAAGAAAGTTGGCCATGAAGTAGTAGTAGAAATGGATTGAGAACTAGTAGTAATCAATGTAGTATTGTAGTGTAATTGTTTCCTTTATAACGAAGGTTGATTGGAGGCCCAGGGGTACAGGTGGTCAAGGGAGTAAATACTACCGAAGTAGAGAGAAAAGAAAGATGCGACACAGAAGATAAGGTTAGGAGCAATTTGCTCACCTAAATGAATTGACTTTTGTACTTCATTTCTTCATCATTTGTGTGGAAAATCCTGGTAACAAGGACCTGATTTTGCCTTTGGAGCAGGTGCAGAAATCTTCTTCAAACAATGTGTGACCCAGATCAACCTGAGAAATAACAAGTGGGAGGTCTCCAAGGAGACGGGCTCCCCCGAGCAGTTTGACCTTGTTGTCCTCACCATGCCAGCTCCTCAGATTCTGGAACTTCAAGGTGACATCGTGAACTGTGAGTAGGCCTTGCTGTTTACCTATTTGGGGAATGGATCGGGAGGGCGCACATTTGCTCTTCTTTTTGAGAGAAAAATCTATAATCAATTCTACTGGTGTCATATTTTAAAAGTGATTATGGTCTACTTCCTGATTAGTCTGGATCGTAATGAAACGTACAGAATGGTTTTTAATTAGCTCGAAATTGAACAGTTCTCTATTGCCCTTGTTTTAAAACAATTTGGTCTTATTTTGGATGTGCTGTAGTGTGGCCCGGAAGAGCAGGGTCTGTGCAGTCATCCTGAAGAAAAGCTGTTCATCTTGACTTCATATGGGCATGCCTCATCTCCTATCTCCTTGCTCTCTGGGTTACTGCTAAGTATTTACTGCTGTTGGACGGAGTCCTTTAGCCTCATTGATGAGTAGGTGGATATGATAGAGGATACATTGTCCTGATGAATAAAAGAAAGCATTTCTCCCAAAAATTAACATATTTTAAAAAGGGATTTGGTGAGCCATCAATAAGCAGAGTAACCCATCTTTGTAAGCAAATCCAATATTATTCTTTTATATTCTATTTTCTTATGCAGAGGACTATTAAAATATTACAAAGTTTTTGTTGAAGAAAGCAAAAATTTATTTCAAACCCAGGGCATGTTGATATATTTAGCTGGGTGGTCAGTTTTTATAAAAATCTGTTTTATGTAGCTGAGACATGACAAATGGGAAGTCTCCTCAGAAGACATCCTCTCCAAGGGTTTGAGCCTGTCCCTATGGTACCAGCTCTTGTCGCTTCCTAGGGAGGTTGACTGTGAAGGTAAAGATCCATTTTCATAGAACCCAGACAGTAAGGGGCAGTGGAAATGCAGTCATTCCCAAACCATGCTAGGTGTGCTCAGAAACTGTGCCAAGAAACCAGCATGGACTGATTTGTCTGAACTTTACTCAAGATGACTTTGAGCTGTGGGTCTTGCTACCATGAGGGGTTTTAACATCAGTGTGAGGAAACCCTGCTTCGCTAAGCTGATTTTGTCAGGTCTTTTGCCACAGCAAAACTAAAAGTGACTACTATGGTTGCTGTCTGCAGATTTATGATTTTATCGGGAAAGGTGGTCAGAAGTACTGGGATAAAGGCATGTGCAAGCACCACCCAGGTCATTGGTGTGTTATTTATGATTATAGTGTTATTCAATTTTTTTTACAAATTGCCGAAAAGTCTTTAATAGCCAAGTCTTTCATTTTTTTTCTTTAGAAACAGCATTTAAGTGTTGCAGTTGGTTTAGTGTTATTGACTTTAGATAGCTACCTTTGTTTTAATACAAAATATTAGATAGCTAGAATATGTGTGATGGAATCTGATTTTCTGTGTCTTCCTCGAACTCTTATATAAAAATGTACGATTGAGGAATATGCTTGAAACAACCTTCATGGGTGGATAGAGATAGTTGGATACCAAAGACTTGATTGGGTACATTGAGTGGTGGGACATATCCATTTGCACAGTCATATATTGCCATCTAGTGGCACAAATTTATATTGCAGTTCCCCAGATTAGGCTAGAAAATACCTGAAACCTAGGTAAACACTATAACTATAATATAAACCAAACATCATGAGGAAATTAATATGGTCCAAAGATAATGCATTAACTATGCACCTGAATCTGCAAAGTTTGTACAGAAGTTAGGGTATGCTACCAGTCCCTAATTATATCCACTGTGAACAGCGTGCTGACTGCTTTCTGATTTTCTATTCATTCTCTAAGTCATGTCTAGGCTGTGAAATCAACATAATACCATATTTTACCTGCATTTTTGACTATTGTTTCGGTGTATTATGGGTTATCTTTACTTGTGTATTTATCTCCTTTTCTACTTTGCCTTTTATAGATGAAACAGGACTACTTCCTTTCTTCTGGCAATTCATAATTATGCTTTTTCTCAGCTGAAAAAATAGGGATGCTTCAAGGGCCATATGATTAACCTCTCAAGATTTACTACTCTATAATTGTGTTACTTTTGCCATGTTACTATTACCAAGACTGTTTCCATCCTCAAAGCAACCCTAGGTGTTATTATCCTCTCCATTCTTACTAGGAAGACTGAGTTTTGAATCTCCAGCCTTGTGGCCAGAGGCCAGGAGCAATGGAGGGCTGGAAGCACCCACTCCAACTGTGGTGATGCTGCTCCTGCCAGTGCAGCCAGTAGATTTTTGTTATTGCCTTTGTTTTATTTTTTATGAAATTGGATGCCCTAATGAATATGTTAATGTGTATATATATATATATCTGATATATCCTCATGAGGGACTATCCCCATAATCAATATGAAATTTTGATTTGAAGTATAATTTGCCAAATATTAGTATAAGCATACTTGCCTCTTTTTTTAGTTCTATTTTCTTGTTTTTTTTTTTTTTAGTTTTATTTGTCAATTTCCGTTCTTTTTTCATAGGTACATTTCTTGCAGGCAATAAATATGGGATCTTGTTTTTAATTTAATATACTAATCTATCATTTTTAATTAGAGACTTGAACTCATTAACATTCAGAGTTATTATTTGAATAGTATGTAGTCATCTGGGTTGGAAATTGCTGTCTTATGGAGTTTGAAATGTATCATTCCATGTCCTCCTTCTGTTTCTAAATCTGCTGTTGTTCTGATGGTTTTGTCTTGTATGTGACTCTATCTTTGTTCTAACTATAATGTGATGTATGTGTGTAAAGCTACATATACATACGTTATATATATATATATTTCTAACTATAATGCCATATGTGTATATATAGTTCTTTTCTGGTCTTTTGTTGTTGATGTTTCAAATGGCTCATTTCTAGGTAGACATTTCTTTCTTTAAATAAAGGGAGTTTTCTAATATAGTTTTATTGATTATGTTTTCTAGGCCTTTACTTTGTGCTTCTCCTTTGCTCAGTTATAAATTTGGTCTTTGTCTTAGTTGACCAAGGCAACTTATAAAGAATATTTTCAATTGAGATTAGAGTTTCACAATGATAGGCTCTATGACAGCAGAGCAAAGATGTAAGGAACAGCTGGTAACTCACATCATAATCTGCAGGTAGGAGGCAGAGAGAAAGTGAAGAGAAAAAGACAAAGGGGGGAGGGAGGGAAGGAGAGAGGGAAAAAACACTAGGAATGGCATGAGTCTTTGGAAACATCAAAACTCTCCCCAGTGATACTCCTCCTTCAATAAGAAAATACCTCCTAGTCCTTCTTCAAAAGTTCCACCAACTAGGGATCAGGTATTTATATATGAGCTTACAGGGGACATTTTCATTCAAATGATCAAACCCCACTCCCTGACTCCCACAAGTTGTGGTTATATCCTAGTACAAATGCGTTTAGTCAAACTTCAAAAGTCCCTGTAGTCATTCAGTCTCAACACTGTTTAAAAGTTCAAAGTTCTAAGTCTTTTTTGAAACTCAAGAAATCTCTCCAGTGTAATCTACTATAAAATATGAAAGTCCATTACATATTTCCAACATATAATGCCAACATACAATACATTACGAAAAGACATGGGAAATACTTGAACAAAGCAAGATCAAAACCCAGCAAGGAACATTCCAATTCCTCTACTTACATATCTAATATCAAGTAGCTATTATAGCTCTACTGCTCAGTTTTCCTGCCTACAAGATCATTCTCTCTTGGACTGAGTACACCGCTGCCTGTAGCACTTCTTGCCATAAATCCATGACTTTGGCATTTGCAACCTTTTGACATCTCCAATGCAATCCGGGTTTCACTTTCACAGCTTCACGCAGATGCCTCCAAGGGCCTCCATGAGGAGACTACCCTGATACTCCCCTGACCTCAGTAACTATGGAGGAAGATTCCACAACCCCTCTTTACTAGTGCTTCCTCAAGCCAGCACCACGTGGATGGCACTGCCAGGCTTAGTTGTCAATTTGTGATGAACCCTGCCCTCCTTGATCACATTTGCAACAGTTTTGGATTGTGGTTGCTTTTTAGGAGCAGAAAATCCCTTGGGCCTTTTCCTATTGCAGGCTGAAGCTTAGCTGAATGGGGTCTTGCTCTGAGGGGACACTTTCTTTATTTCAATATCAGACCTCCCCTTAATCTCTTTATCTTTTTCAACACAAGCTTCAGCTCTAAAATTATATTTCCTGGTTCTCTTTTATGCTTCAGACTATACATTTTTATTTCTTATACCCACATGAGAATGATTACTAATAATCACATCTCAGGGTTGATAAAAGTTTGTCTTTAAATATTTTTCCACAAAATAATTAGCTCATTACATTTTGGGTTATCCTTGAACAAATCATTAGGGTAAGGGAAAAAAGCAGCCACAGTTTGGGCCAAAATATCATGAGAATAATCTCTAGCCAAGTTGCTAATACTGATCCCATCTAAAACCTCTCCAGCTGGGCTTTCAATCCATGTTGCTTTAAGCACTGCTGTCTTTTATGATTCTAGTAGGATAGTCCATTAAAGCTTAACTGTTTTTCCAACCCCAAATCCTAAAATCTTCCACATTCCTCCAGAAAGCCACATGATCAGGTCTGTCGTAGCCATAGCCCACACTCTAGTACCAACTTATGTCTTATTTATTTTTGTTTTGCTGTTACAAACCACCAATGCCAGGATAACTAAATTTGGCTTAGAATTTAGGAGTGTTAGTATCTCTGATGGCAGAGCAAAGGCATAGTGGCAGGAACAGCTGAGAGCTCATGTCTTGATCTGCGAGTAGGAGATAGGGAGAAAGCATCCTGGAAATGATGTGAGTCTTTTGGAACATCAAAGCCCAGGCCCATTGCACACCTCCTTCAACCAGAACAACCTCCTAATCCCTTTCTAACAGTCCCACTGACCAGGAATCAAGAGTTCCAACTGTGAGCCTATGGGAAGGGTTCTGCTCACTCACCACAATCATCTAATGCTGACTCAGAGACCTCGCAGGCCTGTTTGTTCTTTCTGTTAATTTTATCTTTATTGTCCCGTTTTACCATATTCTCTATTGAGTTTGTCCTTTTAT